CTTGTCATAATTTCACTAAATCATAAAATCATCTAATTATTTAATATTCTATAGCATTGTTTCTCTTCTACATACATCTTTTTAAAATTCTCTTGTCATAATTTCACTAAATCATAAAATCATCTAATTATTTAATATTCTGTAGCATTGTTTCTCTTCTACATACATCTTTTTAAAATTCTCTTGTCATAATTTCACTAAATCATAAAATCATCTAATTATTTAATATTCTATAGCATTGTTTCTCTTCTACATACATCTTTTTAAAATTCTCTTGTCATAATTTCACTAAATCATAAAATCATCTAATTATTTAATATTCTATAGCATTGTTTCTCTTCTACATACATCTTTTTAAAATTCTCTTGTCATAATTTCACTAAATCATAAAATCATCTAATTGATTAATATTCTATAGCATTGTTTCTCTTCTATATACATCTTTTTAAAATTCTCTTGTCATAATTTCACTAAATCATAAAATCATCTAATTATTTAATATTCTATAGCATTGTTTCTCTTCTACATACATCTTTTTAAAATTCTCTTGTCATAATTTCACTAAATCATAAAATCATCTAATTATTTAATATTCTATAGCATTGTTTCTCTTCTACATACATCTTTTTAAAATTCTCTTGTCATAATTTCACTAAATCATAAAATCATAAAATTGATTAATATTCTATAGCATTGTTTCTCTTCTATATACATCTTTTTAAAATTCTCTTGTCATAATTTCACTAAATCATAAAATCATCTATTTATTTAATATTCTATAGCATTGTTTCTCTTCTACATACATCTTTTTAAAATTCTCTTGTCATAATTTCACTAAATCATAAAATCATCTAATTATTTAATATTCTATAGCATTGTTTCTCTCTACATACATCTTTTTAAAATTCTCTTGTCATAATTTCACTAAATCATAAAATCATCTAATTGATTAATATTCTATAGCATTGTTTCTCTTCTATATACATCTTTTTAAAATTCTCTTGTCATAATTTCACTAAATCATAAAATCATCTAATTATTTAATATTCTATAGCATTGTTTCTCTTCTACATACATCTTTTTAAAATTCTCTTGTCATAATTTCACTAAATCATAAAATCATCTAATTATTTAATATTCTATAGCATTGTTTCTCTTCTACATACATCTTTTTAAAATTCTCTTGTCATAATTTCACTAAATCATAAAATCATCTAATTATTTAATATTCTATAGCATTGTTTCTCTTCTACATACATCTTTTTAAAATTCTCTTGTCATAATTTCACTAAATCATAAAATCATCTAATTATTTAATATTCTATAGCATTGTTTCTCTTCTACATACATCTTTTTAAAATTCTCTTGTCATAATTTCACTAAATCATAAAATCATCTAATTGATTAATATTCTATAGCATTGTTTCTCTTCTACTATACATCTTTTTAAAATTCTCTTGTCATAATTTCACTAAATCATAAAATCATCTAATTATTTAATATTCTATAGCATTGTTTCTCTTCTACATACATCTTTTTAAAATTCTCTTGTCATAATTTCACTAAATCATAAAATCATCTAATTGATTAATATTCTATAGCATTGTTTCTCTTCTATATACATCTTTTTAAAATTCTCTTGTCATAATTTCACTAAATCATAAAATCATCTAATTATTTAATATTCTATAGCATTGTTTCTCTTCTACATACATCTTTTTAAAATTCTCTTGTCATAATTTCACTAAATCATAAAATCATCTAATTATTTAATATTCTATAGCATTGTTTCTCTTCTACATACATCTTTTTAAAATTCTCTTGTCATAATTTCACTAAATCATAAAATCATCTAATTATTTAATATTCTATAGCATTGTTTCTCTTCTACATACATCTTTTTAAAATTCTCTTGTCATAATTTCACTAAATCATAAAATCATCTAATTATTTAATATTCTATAGCATTGTTTCTCTTCTACATACATCTTTTTAAAATTCTCTTGTCATAATTTCACTAAATCATAAAATCATCTAATTGATTAATATTCTATAGCATTGTTTCTCTTCTATATACATCTTTTTAAAATTCTCTTGTCATAATTTCACTAAATCATAAAATCATCTAATTATTTAATATTCTATAGCATTGTTTCTCTTCTACATACATCTTTTTAAAATTCTCTTGTCATAATTTCACTAAATCATAAAATCATCTAATTATTTAATATTCTATAGCATTGTTTCTCTTCTACATACATCTTTTTAAAATTCTCTTGTCATAATTTCACTAAATCATAAAATCATCTAATTATTTAATATTCTGTAGCATTGTTTCTCTTCTACATACATCTTTTTAAAATTCTCTTGTCATAATTTCACTAAATCATAAAATCATCTAATTATTTAATATTCTATAGCATTGTTTCTCTTCTACATACATCTTTTTAAAATTCTCTTGTCATAATTTCACTAAATCATAAAATCATCTAATTATTTAATATTCTATAGCATTGTTTCTCTTCTACATACATCTTTTTAAAATTCTCTTGTCATAATTTCACTAAATCATAAAATCATCTAATTGATTAATATTCTATAGCATTGTTTCTCTTCTATATACATCTTTTTAAAATTCTCTTGTCATAATTTCACTAAATCATAAAATCATCTAATTATTTAATATTCTATAGCATTGTTTCTCTTCTACATACATCTTTTTAAAATTCTCTTGTCATAATTTCACTAAATCATAAAATCATCTAATTATTTAATATTCTATAGCATTGTTTCTCTTCTACATACATCTTTTTAAAATTCTCTTGTCATAATTTCACTAAATCATAAAATCATAAAATTGATTAATATTCTATAGCATTGTTTCTCTTCTATATACATCTTTTTAAAATTCTCTTGTCATAATTTCACTAAATCATAAAATCATCTATTTATTTAATATTCTATAGCATTGTTTCTCTTCTACATACATCTTTTTAAAATTCTCTTGTCATAATTTCACTAAATCATAAAATCATCTAATTATTTAATATTCTATAGCATTGTTTCTCTCTACATACATCTTTTTAAAATTCTCTTGTCATAATTTCACTAAATCATAAAATCATCTAATTGATTAATATTCTATAGCATTGTTTCTCTTCTATATACATCTTTTTAAAATTCTCTTGTCATAATTTCACTAAATCATAAAATCATCTAATTATTTAATATTCTATAGCATTGTTTCTCTTCTACATACATCTTTTTAAAATTCTCTTGTCATAATTTCACTAAATCATAAAATCATCTAATTATTTAATATTCTATAGCATTGTTTCTCTTCTACATACATCTTTTTAAAATTCTCTTGTCATAATTTCACTAAATCATAAAATCATCTAATTATTTAATATTCTATAGCATTGTTTCTCTTCTACATACATCTTTTTAAAATTCTCTTGTCATAATTTCACTAAATCATAAAATCATCTAATTATTTAATATTCTATAGCATTGTTTCTCTTCTACATACATCTTTTTAAAATTCTCTTGTCATAATTTCACTAAATCATAAAATCATCTAATTATTTAATATTCTATAGCATTGTTTCTCTTCTACATACATCTTTTTAAAATTCTCTTGTCATAATTTCACTAAATCATAAAATCATCTAATTATTTAATATTCTATAGCATTGTTTCTCTTCTACATACATCTTTTTAAAATTCTCTTGTCATAATTTCACTAAATCATAAAATCATCTAATTATTTAATATTCTATAGCATTGTTTCTCTTCTACATACATCTTTTTAAAATTCTCTTGTCATAATTTCACTAAATCATAAAATCATCTAATTATTTAATATTCTATAGCATTGTTTCTCTTCTACATACATCTTTTTAAAATTCTCTTGTCATAATTTCACTAAATCATAAAATCATCTAATTATTTAATATTCTATAGCATTGTTTCTCTTCTACATACATCTTTTTAAAATTCTCTTGTCATAATTTCACTAATCATAAAATCATCTAATTATTTAATATTCTGTAGCATTGTTTCTCTTCTACATACATCTTTTTAAAATTCTCTTGTCATAATTTCACTAAATCATAAAATCATCTAATTATTTAATATTCTATAGCATTGTTTCTCTTCTACATACATCTTTTTAAAATTCTCTTGTCATAATTTCACTAAATCATAAAATCATCTAATTATTTAATATTCTATAGCATTGTTTCTCTTCTACATACATCTTTTTAAAATTCTCTTGTCATAATTTCACTAAATCATAAAATCATCTAATTGATTAATATTCTATAGCATTGTTTCTCTTCTATATACATCTTTTTAAAATTCTCTTGTCATAATTTCACTAAATCATAAAATCATCTAATTATTTAATATTCTATAGCATTGTTTCTCTTCTACATACATCTTTTTAAAATTCTCTTGTCATAATTTCACTAAATCATAAAATCATCTAATTATTTAATATTCTATAGCATTGTTTCTCTTCTACATACATCTTTTTAAAATTCTCTTGTCATAATTTCACTAAATCATAAAATCATCTAATTATTTAATATTCTGTAGCATTGTTTCTCTTCTACATACATCTTTTTAAAATTCTCTTGTCATAATTTCACTAAATCATAAAATCATCTAATTATTTAATATTCTATAGCATTGTTTCTCTTCTACATACATCTTTTTAAAATTCTCTTGTCATAATTTCACTAAATCATAAAATCATCTAATTATTTAATATTCTATAGCATTGTTTCTCTTCTACATACATCTTTTTAAAATTTTCTCGTTAAAATACATCCGAGGAATTTGCTAAATAGAAGTTCGACGAATCAGGATAATCAGAAATAATACTCAAAAGAATCAATTATATCCTAATATCTTTTGAATAAAATTTAAAAATTTGTGTAAATTTTTTTGACAAATCCAAAAGTTTTTTTGAAATAATTTTTATTAAATTTAGATATTCAATCCAAAATCATCAATTTTGTCTCAAAAACATTTAAACACACAAAAACTTTCATTGGGCGTTGAACGTTTTGCACTTACCGAACTTTTATTTAATCCCAGTGATGTAGAAATTGGACAAATGGGAATAGTTGAAGCAATAAATAATTGTTTATCTAAATTCCCTAAAGGTTTTTTTGAATTTCCACAATATTTTTTAAGTATTTTTTGTAGAAATTCAATTATTAATGGCCGCAAATATTGTATTAATTGGAGGAAATTCACTTTTTGCTGGGTATCTTGAGAGGATGTAAGGAAAATAAAAAATTGTCATTTTAGTTGTTAATATTAAAAACATTAACGGTTTGGAATAAGCAAACCCAGTTTGGAACCTATAGCTGGTTGTTGGTCTTAGTGCATGACTTTGTGAGCTAGTTTTGGTCGGAATTCAGATTTCCGAAAATTAAAGCTGATTTCCGAGTTACGACTTTTAAGCCATTTCCAGCAACATCGTCATTTTCGAGCGACCTCTATTTGGGAACAAGGTCCGGTCGGCTCATATAATTATGCTTACAAGGATCCCGTCCTGGCATCGGTTAAGTAAAAAATCCCGACTCGGGATCCCGGAAGTGCGATTTTGCCGGTCTCTAATTTTGAATATGACACGAATGTCAAGAATGTCTCTAGCATTCAATAACTTTTTTTTTATTGTTAAATTAAAATTAAACCTTGAATTTTTAAAATAATTTCATAATTTTTAGCCTAACAGATTTACGTTGTTCTGTTGACGAAACATTTCCATTAGAAGTTTTACTTGCCCCAAACCCAATAGCACATGCCTGGAATTGTGCTAATAATATTTTTTCCAATAAAAGTGGAGAATCTTTTGATACTTGGAATTTTGCTTCCAAAACTGTGACTCGTTCAGAATACGAAGAAAATGGTTTAAATATTTGTCAAAAACGTTTTAATAATTATTGGTTAGATGAAAATAATATTTTGAATATCCAAGAAGATTAATTTTTTTGGAATGGCTAAATATTTTTTAAATTTTTTTTCATTGAATTTCAATTAAATTATTTTTTTATAATTTTTTTGCATCACATTTTTAGCAGTTTAATGACTGTCAATTTATTTTTAAATATTTTTAGATAAATTTTAATATAATTTTTAAGCATTATTCAGTTAATATCTCAGTTAAATTTTCTTCAAAAAGATGTTTTATTCTTTACCAATAGAAACAAAGCTTGATATTTTTAAATTCCTCGGTTATAAAGAAATACGTTCAATCAACCAAACAAATTTATATTTTTACGAGTTTATTAACAAATTTCAAGGAGAACTTGCTCGGGAGAAATTTAAAGAAATAAATATTGTAATGTTTTCAATTAATTTCAATTTTTAAGTTTAATTAAGGATTGTTTCAAACGATTCAAAGGACCTCGTCGATATTTAGTTACTTTTAGAACTGCAAATTTTGACTTTCCATTGGATAAACAATTTGAAAAGAAGGTAAATTTTGAGCATTTAAATATGTAAATATTTCCTTTTTAGTGGAGGGGTGGACTTGAAAAACGAATTTCTTTATATTTGCCTAAGAAAGATTTGGATAAGGATATAGTTATATGCTTGACTAAAGGTTACTAAATTTTGTTCAATAATTTATTTGGTACTTTTCCGTTTTTTTTTTCGTTATCCTTTTCCGTTATCTTTTTTATTTTTCTTTTTTTTTAAATTTTTTTTCGTTATCTTTTCGTTTAAAAAATTTTTTTCCTTTATCCCTACATACTTTTGCGTACAACTAGTCATTCTTATTGTAAGGACACATAGTAGCATCATTTGAAACGCTTAGGCGGATGTTAAACGAACATAAGTGGGAAAGAGAAAGTATCAATCGTTGCCCCCGGTAGCTCAGTGGTAGAGCACCTGCATTTGCGTGTGTAAGGCCGAGGGAGCATTGTCAGTGTTGTCGCTGGTTCGAATCCTGCCCGATGGCTAAACCTTCGCCAGGCTCTTACCCTTATTCACATGTTTTTCTGCAAATGCAGACCAGGGCTGCACGCAACTAAAAAAAGATTCTGCAAACGCAATCCGCAATTGCGTGCAGCCCTGATGCGGACACAACAACCCCCCTTTTCGGTCTTTCCGAAAAGTTTTTTTCTAAATCTTCTTTTAACCTAGGATTAGAACCTTGCAACATCAATGAATATTTTTTACTTCGACTACCAACCATTATTAAAAGCAAAAATGATGTCAAAATTGTTTATTATTATTTAAATAAATTATTTAGTTGTTCTTTTGAATATTTTTCCTTTCGACAATTTATATTCAATCCAGAATTAATTCAATTATTATTTGGAAATGCTAAACAATTTTATATTCAAATATTCCATCACTCTAGTTATTCTCACAATATTGAAAATTTACTTCAATTTACTTCGAACCATTTAATTAGTGAAAATCTTATATTAAATTTACTTCAAGATAACAACATGGAAAAATATATAAATATTTTATTTAAAATTTTAACAAAAGGAAATATTTTAGAAAAAATTCATTTGAAATATGCGTTTTTTGGACATTTGGAAGATTATTCTTTAAATATATCTTTGCTTTATGATCTTATTGTAGAAGTGAGTTATATTTACAGAAAAGTTAAAAATAGGGCTCTTGTCCAGTTTATGCGTCCAATCGACTTTTATGAGTCCAATGAAAGTTTATGCGTCCCATGAAAGTTTATGAGTCCGATGAAAGATTATGCGTCCAATTAAAAAATTATAAAATTTACCGTATTTACTCTAGTAATTCCCCAGTCTCTATTAATTCCCCACCCTAGAGATGGGTTGAAACAATAATCCCCCAGCCTCTATTAATTCCCCAGTCTCTATTAATTCCCCACCCTAGTGATTGGTTGGAACAATAATCCCCCGGTCCGTAAGTTTATTAAAACAATATTAATAATCAAAAAATCATTAACAACATAGTAAACAGATCAATCAATATCAAAAAACAAATAGTCTTCCCCTATCGCATCTGATTTAAATCACAGTCAAAGATGTGCGATTGCTCGTTGCGCCCATCTCCTCCTTTGTAAATTGCACGCATTTCACACAAAACAACAAGACCTTTGAGTTATATAAATAAATTTTAAAAAAAATAAAAAAGACCTCTTTCGCCGATAGGACCATCTGATTCTGAACCATCTAGTGGAGTTGACCTCAATTGAGTCCCGACTCAACTGAGTCCCGGACCCTATAACTTATGAAGGGACAGTCACTTTTTGTTACTCTTGGTAACATTAGATAGGGCATTAAATAAGCTACAATATACCAAAAAATCATCATTCTTGAACGACTGGTAAAAAAGTTATGACCGATAAAGTGCCGAAAAATCAGATTTTTTTGAAAAAGTTAGTTTTTAAATCATAACTTTTTTATCAATCGGTCAAAAATTCTGATTTTTTGATATATTATAGCTTTTAATTCTCTATCCAATGATACCAAAAACATTAAAAATTATCAACCTGTACTTGAGTTATAGGGTCGGGACTCAATTGAGCCGGGACTCAGTTGAACTGCTCCGGAAGACAGCATTAGAAAGAAAAAGACGTTCAGAACGCCAAAATTTAATGGCGTAAATTCAATCTTCAAAACAATTCCCCACCCTAGAGATGGGTTGAAACAATAATCCCCCAGCCTCTATTAATTCCCCAGCCTCTATTAATTCCCCACCCTAGCGATGGGTTGAAACAATAATCCCCCTGGGGAATTACTAGAGTAAATACGGTATACTATATTTAACAAAGAACATTATTATTGATTAACAAGAAATAATCAACAAGCGTACGGTTCAATTTGTTTTAGAGATCGGAACGGGATCGGGACCCGGTCCCGTTTCCCGGTCCCCTTTCCCGGCTTTTTTGAAGATGCCGGGATGAAACCGGGATCGGGAATTCACGGTCCGGGTCCCGGCAGGTTAATTTTCATTTCGCGTTTCCCGTTCCCGGCTTTTTTGGACCGGGAAAAATTCTAGCAGCTAATTTTAAAGATTTTTGCTTGGCGTTTTGATTTTTGACTTAAAAATATTGGAGATTTTACAAAAATTCTCAAAATTTTCGCCTGCGGCGCTGAAAACGGAAGAAATTTGGCAGTTTGACCTTCCAAAATTCTCAAAATTTATGCGAAAGAATTTGGAACGGAGAAATTTGGAGGTATTATTGGAGGAAAATTTTAGGAAATTAGTGTATAGTGCGATTTTATCAAGGGACCTGGTCCGTTTTTAGCGTCACAGGAAAAAATCTTTTGATTTTAAGGTTTCAATAAATAACTACTCCCATAACTTTTTAAAATTTTTAAATGAATTAAAAATTTTTTAAAATTTCCCGGCTTCCCGATCCTTTTTCCCTGCTTTTTTGAAGATGCCGGGATGAAACCGGGAACGGGAATTCCCGGTTTTCCCGGTCCGGGTCCCTCCCGGTCAACCTTCAGAACCCGTTTCCCGGTCCCGGTTTTTTCAAAATTCGGATCTCTAATTTGTTTTCCCATTTGAGTCAAATAAAAATAAAGAATTTCTATTCGCCCATTACGAGAGTGTTTGATCCTCGTGCCATGAGTATCTAAAAATCGAAAGTATTTTGTTAATTTATTTGGGCTGTGCCGTCAAAACAAATGTTTTGTAAATCCGGTTTGTTCCAAATTTCTCCTACATTTCTAAAGAGAAATTCATTATTGAAATTTTTGAGATGGATTACAAAACTGAGGCTTGATTTACTGTTAATACTAATTAAATTTTGATTTTATAAATTTTGATTTTATGCTTCATTTTTGTTTAATTTCATGAAACTTTTAATTGGACGCATAAACATTTCATTGGACGCATAAACTTCCATTGGACGCATAAGCTTTCAATGGACGCATAAAAGTCGATTGGACGCATAAACTGGACAAGAGCCAAAAATAGATTCAAACTTTAAGTATATAGCAACATCGAGAGAATGTTTGAAAATGGTGCCTGAAATTATTTTTGATTTCTCTACTTCAGCAAATATTAAATTAAGCGAGAGAGCAGAAAAAGTTGAAATTGAGCAATTAAATGGTGTTAAATATACAAATTATCAGATTACCAATATTTTCAACCCAAAAGTGTGTTTTGTTTTTGAAGAAAATGCCAGTGATTTTTCGACTTTCAAAGTTAGAATCAATATGAAAATTTTAGAAGAAAATAAAGTTTTTGATTTATCGGAATTATAAATATTTTTATTTTTTTGTCATTGACTTTTTTAATTAAATTATTTTTTTAAATTTATTTTTATTTTTTTAAGTGTCTCATTGAGTTCCGCCGGTTAAGTCCAGGAACCATATTTTGGGCCATAACTTCATGGGTTTTCAACCAATTCGAATAACTCTTATAATTCGAAAGTCCTTGATGTGGGGATATTTTCGCCTACTAAATTGAGATCACCTACTAAATTGAGATCATCCTCTAGATTTGAGACAGGGCAATTATTGTTTCTACATGTACATTTTTTATTTTATCGTATAAATATTAGGGATACAGTTTAGTATACCCGAGTTTTAGTTTCGATATAAGCCCCATACCATTCGATTCGTCTCGACTCTTTTCCTGAAATGCCTGTGGACCGTGATGATATAGGTCCCCAAAAATGGGAAAACTAGGGGGAGTAAGCTCAATTTTGGGGTAAACAATTTTATATATTCAATAAATTAATTAAAAACTTGTAAATACAAACATTGTATACGAAGATCTGAAAATCTTAATTTTTGTATTGTTCAATTAAATAAATCCCTGCTCTGACGACATTCATTTGTCATTTGCCCAGCACTTGGATACATCGAACCAATAAAAAGACGACCATGTTGAACTAATTCATAGCTAATTAAAGTAAATTGGCATCTATTAAGTTCGAACTGAAAATATTTGAGGGATTTTTGTGAAAATTAGATTTACAAGTCGATTTTTCTGAGTCGGATCCGGATTTTTAACTAGAGGCGGGCATGATTTTTTGGATTAATCTGTTCCGGAAAGAATATGAAAATAGTGAAAGAACTCGGATTTGGGACCCAGACTCTGGAAAAATCCGTCCAGGCCTTCAGGTCCCATTCCCTAAGTTAAACTAACATTGCAATTTTTCCCCTTTCCATTTAAACGTCTCGATAAAAAACAAAATGTATACAAAGCAAATTCAAATTCTGGCGTTGTTCCAATGAGGAAAGACCCTGCAGGTTTCATTAAATCTTCCCAACTGAATTTTACTACTCCAAAAATATTCTTTAAAAAATTTTTTTTAATTATTTAAAAAATATTAATTTAAAAACCCCTCGTTTAATTAAATATCCTTTATAGTCAAAATGAAAATTATTTTTATTCTTCTCCAAATATAAAAATCTTATCCAATTGTGAAGGCCAGAAACTATACCTTGTTTGAACTTTAATTATTAATTTATTTTTAAATTTATAAAAAAAGGAAACTTCTCCAATAAAAACATGTTCAAATCCAGAAGAATCTGGTTGCCCTAAAGAACGAGAATATTGTCCAAACCATAATTGTTCTAAGGAGTGTCGGAAGACTGATTGATTTTTAGCGATTGGATGATCTTAAAATCAAGATAGGATGATTTTAGGCAAAGTTAGGAGGGAATTGGAAATCAGAATTAAGAATCCAAACACGTTTATGGAGGGAATGTACTCCTTGTGTTCGATAACAAACTTTTAAAAGATCAGAACTTGGTTAATATCAAACCAAAAATTCCCAAATTTTGGGATTTATTAAAAACTAGAGTCCGGACGGTACCGTACTACGACGGTATTTTTCGGTATTTCAGTACGTAAGACCATGCAGCACAAAATTCCGGGCTCTATTAAAAATACTTTAAAGGATAATATTTTTTATGAAACGATCAGTAAGGAGAAAAATTTGAGAAAATTGAAGAGAAAAATTTAGAGAAAATCTTTAAAAAACACCTTTACTCTCTAAAAATGTATAGAGCATATCCATAGGTTTAGATTTAATTATTACATCAAGAAAGTCATTAATTTCATTTTTTTCCTCAATTGTTTCAATTTCTGGTCGCCCAGTAAATGGCTCATCTTTTTAATTTAAAGGAAAAAATATTTTTAAAAATAAATAGAGAATATTTACAATTATCGTAAAGTTTCAACAATTTTGGAACAGATTCAGAAAGTAACAAAACTTTTGTTAAATTAACATCACGAAAAAGGCTAAAGAAAATTTTTATTTTAATTAAAGGGATTTTAATTTTAGACAAAAAGTTGGATACTTAAAGGACTATAAATTATCTAAAAAATCTGACTTCTAACAAGGCTTGAACTTTCAACTTTTTCTATAGTATCGGTGGATCTGGAGGGATATAGGTGATATCTGCGGATTTAGAAAAAAATTCTTCTATCACTCAATATCTCCACAGAACATTATCACTCGCTAAAACTTTAATTACAAATCTATTTGAGCTGAAAAGAGTGCTTGAGTACCCCAAAACATATGGAATTACCTAATATTGATAAATTGTCGTTTTAAAATATTTTCGGCCCAAAAATGGGTATTTTCAAACTTATTTTCATGTGGATTTTGAGAAATTCCATGCCCAAAAAAACTACAAAAAAATAAACTGCTTGCAAGGAATAAGGCTAGTACATATTAGGCCAGCTGGCTAGTATATAAAACACAATTGAATATTTATTAAAAGGGAGGTGAAAGCAGGGCCGAGTGCTTGAGTATTGAGTAGTTACCCACGATAACTCTATCGGTAATGTAGCCTAGCAAATAAATGCCAGGAGGTCGCGGAATCTATGCCTTCCAGGACTAAATCTTTTTAACTCTCACTCTTACTGGATTTTCAATTTAAATTTATCTTTGATTGGGGAAAAAATTAAAAAATTGAATCAAATCTCACGGTTCTTTAGCTCGGTCAATTCTATCGACATTATTTGTATGTCCTTGAAAGTTTACAAAAACATCTAATTTTAAACTTTCTTTATATAATTGAGAAATAAATTGTTTAATTTTTAAATCGCTAATTTCAAGAGAAAATAGTATTTTTTGATTTTCAAAATTATTTAATGGAGAAGTTGAAGATATTTTAAAAATATTGATAATTAAAAATATTTTAATTAAAATTCGACGAAAAGAAGAAAATAAACAAATATTATTTGAAGAAAAATAAAAAATTAAATAAATATAAAGTAACATTTTTAGTTAAAAAAATTTTTTTAATTTTTTAATGGGTGGAAATAAATAATAATTAAAATCGATTTTATATTCACGTAGACAATAATAAAAAGAAATTAAAGAGAAGGGAAATAAATTTTAATTTTGAAATTTTTTAAAATAAAAATTCCCCTCAAAAAGCCTTTGAAATTAAACGGGCATTAAAAATATTTCTGTTGTTCTCTCATTAAGCATAAACTTAAAAAGAGATGAGAGGAGGAGATTCAATCAAGCATGTGATGAAAAGAGACATGGATTTTTGGATATAAATTTAAGAGTAAATAAAAGTGGCTGTCATTCTTTTTCAACAAAAATAATTGAAAAAAATGCAGAAGGAAGAAGATAATTTAAAGCCGAAAATCATCATTTCTACATCCCCCTACCCGATTCCCGAAATAGAAAAAAATAAAATTTAAGCTTATTAGTTTTTGAAAGTAAAAAGAAAATAAGTCAACTTTCAACCTCTGGAAATGTTTTAATATTAAAATAAATTATAAAATTTTATGAAAAATAATAAAGATTAATTAATGGGGAATTACTTATATTTAGAATTAATTTTTATTTTGAATATTAATGAATGGGGATTGAAGAAAATAAATAATCTATTGAAAAGAAAGATAATTCGAAAGTTAATTCTTGGTTGTTTTTTGTTTGTTTTTATTTTTCCATTTTTTTGCTATTTTTTTTTGAATTAATGAATTTATCAATTTTTATTTTAGTAATTTTTATTTTTTATTCTTTATATTTTCCACCAAAATTTATAAACTTCAATTATTTTGTATTTTCCATTTTCATTCTTAAAAATATTTTGACTTTCATCTCCCAAATAACGAAACCAAATTTGTTCATCTTTATTAAAAACATTCTTTTTATCCCCCAATTCTCTTTTATTTAAATAATCTTTCAAAATATTTTTTGAATTTTTTAACAACATTCTATTCGACAATAAAAAGTCATTAATCTTTCCATTCTTGTCAAAATAAATTCCATAACTTCCATCATCAAATAAAGGGCCTAAACCTAAAAGATTTGTCCCATTGAATAAATTTAGTCTAGAATTCGCTAATTCAATAAAATCCATTTTTCCGTCTTCAAAGTTTGTCTCACTAGTTTTGACAGCAAAAACATGAAAAAATTCTTTTAATTCTTCAAAAAAATTCTTTAAATTTTCTGAAATTATTTTAAATTTTCCAAACAAACATCTTTCTTTTTCTCCTACAATTTTTACAAAAAATCTTAGTGTCTTTCGAGAATGTAGCATAACATAAATAAAATATTCTCCCTTATTTTTGGATTCAAAACAAATATTTATATGACTGTCATAGCCTTCTTCAGAATTCAAATCCCATTCGAATTTAATTAATCGAAACTCTTTGTTCCTTTCTTCATCATCTTCAGGTTCAAAATTAATATTTTTATGAAAGAGAGGCTCTATTTGCATAATATTCTGAAAATATTAATGTTTGATAATATTTTATTTTATTATTCTTTGCTTACCCTTTTTGCTTTTCGGAGCCCAATCATAATTCCTTCGCGAAATCTATTAGATTTAGTTTTAAAATGAATCTTGGTTAACCCGTTGTTAAGATTTTCTGCAAAAGAATGGTCATTGGTTTTAACAAAATTAATTTGGCTTTTTAATTTTAAATAAAGATCAGAACAATCTATTTCCGGTAAAGAACATTCCAATTCAACAGACAAATCAAAATTATTTATGTTTATTCTTTTTATTTTGTAATGATTGACATCTTCAGGATCATAATAAAAAAATCGGAATCGCTGACTTTTTTGTTCATTTGCCAAGGAATTTAAAAATATTGGAAAAATAAATTGAATGAAAAATAAAATTTTTGTTGACATTGAAGTTGAAAATTAAAATAAATTTACTTTGAAATAATAGCCAAAAAAGATAGTGTTAACTTTATTATTCGGTAATCTCCCACCATTTATTCTTCTAATTTTTTCCAAATTTAATAGGTATAACCTTTTTACACTCTATCCAATTCACGAATCCTAGATAATTTGAAAGCCCTCTATGAGCAATATTTTTATTCCAACTGAATGGATTAAGTCTGATCGTTCAGTAAAATATTAGAAGTCGAAAAAATCGAAGAAATCGTTGTTTTTCACATTTATCACTTCTTAATGGGCGATCAGACATGATCCATCAAGAGTGCTTATTGAGGAATGATATGTTTCATTCAAATTGGAACAAGCATAAAAAAGTTAATTCGGGAAATCGAGAAGAAAAAGAGAATTGTGGGAGATAACCGAATAGTAACTTTAAATTTACTGTTAAATTGTTTAAAAATTAAAATTTTTTCCTCTTATTTATTCTAATTTATTTGCACTTTTGTTTATTTATGTATAGACATAAATTTTAAAATTCTTCGGCAATATTAAAAAAAATCAAAGATATTGGTAACTATTTGGTAACTATTAAATATTTTCGTTTTATGTCACACACACATCATGATATTTCACATACAATTTCAAAATATATTTTTATTTAAACACAAAAATATAAAAAAATATATTTAAACACAAAAATAATATACGGGGTGCGGCAAATTTTCTGCCCTTTTGTTTTTGCCAACTTTCTTAAAATTTATTGAAAATTGTTAATTATTTATTTATTTTATTCCTAATACTTCAAGAAATTTTTTTTTTACCAAAATATTTGCTTGGTTATTTTTTCCTAAATTTCTGAAAAAATTTTTTGGACCAAAAGTGGTATCTGATACGGGCAAGTTTATATCATTCGGATAAGCTCTTTTATCTGATTTGAATAACGTCAAGAGAAGGTTTTTAGCTGAGTTCTTAGCTTAGATACGGGTTTTTGAATAATAGATTACAAACTAGATACTAAATTTCACTTTTTTAGGTGAAATTTTCAACCTAAAAATCGACTCTTCCTCTTCGTGACGAGATTGGTCCTAAAATTAGTCATTATCAAATTTAAAAGAATATTTAGAATTCATTTTATCCATGCTTATGTGAAAAGTATACCCAGAGACACTCAAATTTGCTTAGACTCGGTTTTATCAACCTCTGTTAACCTTTCCGACCTTTATTTTTCCGAAATACGTTATTATTTTTTAATATTCTTTTTTAGTAAATAAAATATGCCTATCTAGATAAAAATATTTAAATATTTATTATAAAAAATATTATCAAAAAATGGTTAAAAAACGCTAGTTACTGTATTTACTCAAATAATTACCTCCTTCCTATTAATTACCCCCTCCAGTCAGAGGTTTAAAAATAAAGAAATAGTTATAAACCCCTTACAGCGGAAGAGTAAAACAATAAATATTCAAATAATTATTTGAGTAAATATGGTAACTTAAATTAATTTGTTAAATATCAATTTAAAAAAATTATTTTTGTATATACATCATTGCACGAATTGCCGACAAATTGCACTATAAAATGCACGGCTAGGCCCTGTGGGGAAATAAAGCGAAAGGCCAAATTTTATGACCAAATTATTAATTAAATAATAAAATTAAATTTTAAAGAAAATTATACATATCTATGTATACTATTGCCAGAGCTGTTCGAAATGTAAGGATGATTCACCAAGCAGCATTTAAAACGCTTAGGCGGGGGGGGGGGGGGATAAACGATATAAAAAGGAAAAAGAAAGCAAAAGTCGATGCCCCGGTAGCTCAGAGGTAGAGCTTCTGCATTTAGGGAGCGTAAGCGCCAAGCAACAACTAGCATGCAGATATGTTAAAGTTCAGTTCCGGAACTAATTAGTTCTGGTTCCAGTTGCAGAACTAAAACTACGGAACTAACGATTATCTGGAACTAGTTTGGAACTAGAACTACGGAACTAGTAAATGCCTGGAACTAGCTTGGAACTGGAACTACTGAACTAGTAAATGTCTGGAACTACCTTTGGAACTAATTCTGGAACTAGTTCTTGGGGGTATACTTTTGACAAAATTGACAAAATTTCCTCGACGAAGTTTACGGGATTTTTAATATTGTTGTAAATTACCTGCAGCGCGTTAAAAATGGAAGAAATCTGGCTGCTTGACCGCGCTGAAAAAGTGAATTTTTTGGCCTACGACCTTAGAAATTCTCAAAATTTTCGCCTGCGGCGCTGAAAAATTGGATTTTTTTACCTACTACCTCTGATCTCCCCAATATCTATTTCGTAAAAATTTTTTATGTGAAAATCCCGAAATCGCGCGGGATCTTGTCCGTAAAAAATTTTTGAAGAAAATCCCGTTACGGGATCCCGTGAATGCGATTTTGCCGCACACTAAATGATTTTTTAAATTATGCGTTTATTTGTTAAAATTGATAAATCTTTTCATATTCAAAAAAAATTTAAAAATTTGGAACTAGAACTAGCTTGGAACTAGTTCCAGAACTGGAACTAAGGAATTTCAAAAATGGAGTTCCGGAACTGGAACTACAAAAATTAAAAACCTAGTTCTGGAACTGGAAATAGTTCCAGAGAAATTTTGCAACTTTGACATCACTGCTAACAGGTGGTCGCAATCCTGCCCGGTGGCTAAACTTTTGCAAACTCTCTGAAAAAAAACCGAAAAAACCTCTTCGGCACCAAATAATCTTCACTACCTTAATAAAAATTCCAGCTCTGAATTCGGATATCCAAAATTTTGGATTGCATATCGGATGCGGATATCTGTGATTCCCAGGATCCACCAAAAAGTGTAGACTGAGAATATAACAAATCTAATTCTGGTCGCCGATTTTCGAAGCTTTTTTAGTTTCTAAACAGCCCTGAATATAGAGCATCATTATCTGCCCCTATTATACTTTTAGTCTCCTTTTAATTTTATCCTAATTTTTGGATGGCCTCTGAATAGTCTGAATTATTATACACCTTTTGATTATTTTTATAAAATCTATTCGGAATTGGACCGTACTGATTCCAGCATTTTGCTGAAAAATGGGAGCTTCCCGGCTTAGATAACCAAGAGACCTGGATACCAACTAGAAATATTTAAAAACAAACTAAAAATTATTTTTGCTTACATATAATTCTAAAAAATTTCTTTTTAATTAAAAAAATTAAACTCGCCGCTCATCCCCATAAAATCCAAGATTTCCACATATTTTTCGGCCATCCTTTCTAATTGTACTAGACGAAGTAATAATACCGGCCAATGGTGAAGAATTCGTTCTTCTTCGGATTCACCCGAGGACACATTATCTAATGTTGAAGATAGAAGTCCGTGATATAATTTTTGTCGGACTTCTCTCAAAACATCATCAGACTCCTTTGAAATTTATTTAGTTAAATTAATCTTTCGATAATAAATTTATTTTTTAAAAATCGGTTTGAGAATCATCTCAGAAATTTTATTTTTTATTAAAATAATTTAAATAAATCAAGGAAGCGGGGAATCAAGCTAATTAGCATTTAAAACCCTTACTCTAGGGTTTTACTTAAAAGAGGTTGACTCGTTCGCTATATTGTGAAATTTTTTTGAATTAATTATTTACAATAGTTTAAATTTTTTTAAAAAATTGTTTTTAATTTTAAATTTTCCCCAATAATATTATTTTAAATTTCAAGTAACTACCTCAATTTTTAAAATTAGCAAAATAGCCATCAAAGAAATCTGTTCAAAAGTTAATTCCAACTCTTCAAGTTTATGCTTAATAAAATAAAAATCTTCATTAAATTCTTTTTCCCCTTCCCTTTTATTTTTAAAATTTTTAATTTTTGGAGTCCAAATCCCCCTATTAATTTTAATTTTAAAATTATTTTCCCCAAACTTCCCTTCAAAACTTTCCCCAATATTTAAAGCCATCAAAAATAACAGAACAGGTCGCCAATTATAATGGTAATTGTGTTGTAAACAAAACTTAAATTTCAATTTATTATTCTTTTTTGAATAAAATTCATATTTAAATTAGCAGAAAATTTTTGCCCTTTGATCATTAATTAAAAATTTTGTGTCTAAAATTTTAGCCCAAAAGCAGAATTAGTTACTTTAAAAGAAAAAAAATTTTCTCAAAAATTATCCTAGCTACCTCATTATTGTTTCAACCTTTCGCTAGAGAGTTTTTTTATTTTAGAAAGTGTAATTATAAGAGAATATTTGATATTATAAATAAATTAACCTGGGAAAAATCTGGCAATTGAGGAGGAAATCCTAGAAATTGTGCCTTTTTAATGCGGGTTAACCTTCCCATCAGCTGTTTCCTTGTCCTTTAAAAAAGTTTATTAAAGTACAAACATTATATTTTAATGCTTAAATTCAAGAGTTTAATTATATTTTAGTACCTATTCTTCTCAATCAAACCACGCTTCGCGAGCCGCTGCACTTCGTTCAAAACTACTACAAAATAAAAATTTATTAAAGCAATTATTCTAAATCTCATCTTATCTCAAATCCCCTTAATCCCTGCAACTCCCAGGTTATTCGCCGTAATCTAGTAATTCATTACAAA